TACAGCTTCCATAGAATATCCAAACTCCTTAAAAGCTTTCTTAAAGTTAGAGCTGTTATCTGTAAGAGTTGCTATAACTTTTTAGTCAATACCAAAGTCACGACGAATTTCTTTATTATGATCATCTTGAAGTACTTCAAAAAATTTGCCATTAAGTATGCTTAGTTTAAATTTATTTTTATATTTTTCGGTTGAAGAATCATCTGAAGACGAAGATAAACATATTATTCTATTTTCTTCTTCCATAATTTTAAAATAGACAGATATAAAACGATTCAAATATGGTAGTTCTAATTGTTAGCAAATTGCTATATGACGACCAACGTCATATATCAAAAATTATCTTATAATATCTATATTTTGATTAAACTTTTCATTTAAATCTTAAAACAATATCATTTTAAATTTTAATACTATTTAAATTAACCAATATAAAATTTTTTTAAAGTATCTGTATCTTTTTGAATATAAAGTTGGTTAAGATACAAATACTTTTAAATAATATGTATCTTAGATACTGGATACAAGATACTTTCCAAAATTTTAAAAAAGATACAAGATACAAAAGTATCTTGTATCTTAGATACAAATATCCGCGATACTGCCCAACCCTGGTATGTCAAATAATGTCATCAATATACAATATATGCTATCACGTATTATGTAATAATAAGGGCCCTGTCAGGATTATCATCTTTACTAGGGTAATATATGACGGGGATCCGCAGGGGGGAGTGCCACTATCGGTCTATGCTGCCCTGTTAAAATACGGATTTGTATTAGGAAAATTTTGCGATGGTCCGAAGGAATGTTACACAATTTATATAAACAAATAAATTTTAATAGGTAATTGTTTTAACAATGTGTAGGACCTATTTCTGCTGTAGGACATCCCAAAGTTTCCCAGGCCCTTATAGGATCAATTCTGTAGTATTCTACTTTTTATTTATGATATAAAGATATGATATTTGATCTAAGGGAGGGGGGGGGGTTTAGTAAATTATATAAACATATAATAAAATAATGAATTATTAGTGTGTGTGAATGTGGGGGAGATTATTGTTCCTCGGGGCCCTGTTTGTTGCTGATTGGATGTTCCATGACGTTTCGGGTTCCTCGTTGGTCATCCTATCCTCCTTGTTGCAGCTTCCGATGTAAGATTTAACGTTCTATCGAACATGTCTGAATCAAATTAGTTCCATCTCACAGATCGTGTCCGTGTCCAGGTCCTCCACTTTATCTATGTGATAAATGGGGGTTAACGTGTGTATCCATGGAAGGGCCTCCTCTATTCTAGATAAGCCGTCGGTATCGATGCCGTGAAGTATGTTGTGGGCAGCTTTATTACCGATCCATAATCTAGTCCCATCAGCGTGGTTTTCCTCGGAGGGAATCCGAGTGAGATTACTGACCAAATGAACAAATTCGCTAGCATGATCCTGGTGACCAAATGTTCACAAGACAGGGAACGGGATCCACCCTTTTTTATGATCGGTAAGTGACCTGACTATCTGTGACCAAGGATGAAATCGATTTGTATTTATTTAGTCCATATTTACAGCCTACCCATATCATGAGTAACTCCTTTTGGTTGATGTGAGGCTTGGCTAGCTTGGGCGTTCCCAAGTCATGCTGGCCTTGCGTGAAGGAGTATCCTTTCTGTAATACTTCCGCCAAGCCAATGGGCGCATCTACATGGATGATCGCGTTGATTTGATATACAAAAAGAAATGTCATCATTAATGCCGCTATTGTTATTATAGCCCAGGGGTACGCTTTGAGGTAGTCAATCGGGGTGTTTCCTCCTCTAACATGGTGAAGTAATACGGCGCGAACATCTTTGATTATCCTGGTATTGAGTATGTGTAATATCAAGATACCTGGCAATTCCAATGCGATATTCCTTTTACTGCTTATTGACTGCAGGGTGTGCTTATATATTATGAGCTGGCAAAATCACAATATCGTTTTGTTTTCTTTGTCCACAGCTGCAGTCTTTCTGGCAAAATCTATGTTGATTCCTAAATAGTTTATCTTTTGGGATAACGAGAGACTTAGTCTCGTTTACGACCAATCCCCATGCAGCTACCATATCCAGAAATGATATTGTATCCTGGAATATTTGGTCGCTGATATGGAAAATGATGATATGGTCTAGATATACTGATTAATTTGCGTACTTGATTGACTTTGCGCATCAATAATATGTTTAGGAGTGTGTAAGGCGAGAAGGCGGGGCCCATCGGCAGGGTTTTATATCTAAACTTGGCCGTCGAAGTTGCGAACCCGAAGAATCTGTGCAGGGGGATCGCTAATAGCGGGGCTATCATGGGGATTATGCGCAATCAGAATGGGTATCATGATATTATCCTAGGACTTCCATCCTGCTTCGGTATAAGGAACAGCGGAGAGCAGAAATCTCTAGCTGGCTGATTTATAGCATGTACTTATCCTAATCTAACGAATCGGTTCCTGAATAATCCACCATGGTTGTTGATTGCCTGATTGTTGAAAATTTATGACAGAAACCTATCGTTGCTATTCTCCGGGTAAAGGGGGATTGCTCTGGATGGGGATTCAAGATCGATGCGGATAATCCTAATGGGGCCTGCAAGTTAACTTCTATGCTCGAATGCCCATTAACCTTAGAAGTCGATGGAATCGACCGATGAAGTTGCTGCCCACCTTCGGCACAGACTTGTTCCGTAACTGATAGGTCCGCTATAGTGTCTTCACTTGCGGTGGAGGCGTTGTCTTCCTCAAGCGTCGTCCTGGCTTATGGCTTTTCGCCGGCGAGAACATCTAGTGTCTCACATCTTTGACCCATTGACGAATCTCGTAATGTCCTACGGCCGTGATACAGGTAGCGCCAGATTGATAGCAAATGGAGGAAGGGTTTGTAGGAATTCATTAATTGTTTGGAGATTTCCTTCCTCGATTGGGGAAACCTGATTTGGTGACTGCGCTAGTGGAGGTTTGACGATGGTCATCGTCTTTAGTAGGAGATCTAGAGAGGTTGTTGTACTCCTATTTTTTCGTCCCAGAGGCAGAAGCAGGGCCGGCCCGAAAGGGATCTTGCATCAATGGTGGTGGCACTCCAACTAATTTGTACATTGTGGATTGGGCTTCCCATTTGATTTGATCTCAGCCCCAGGCTACGGATTCCGCCTATACTTGGGTTTTCGTTGCTACGTTATGAAGGAATTCGATCGAACTCTCTTGCTTCATTTCTCTTTTGAGTGAAGGGAATTCGTTTACGTTTCTTCCTTTAAGTTTAAACCGTTGTATTTTTTCGGTTAAGTATATGGCGTTTAAGAAATGTTTGGCTATCTTTATCAATTTAGCTTTGTTCGATTCTGCCATACCATTTAGGGAACATAATTCATTCTCTGAGAGCAGAAATTTGGTGGATTCCACCCAAATTGACCAGCTATGGTACTTTAAGGCTTGCTCCTAAATTTGTGAAGAGGGCTTCCATTTTGGAATCTTGGCCTGGCGCTGTCATGGGCGTTTTGACGTCTCTCTCTTTGTCTTCCATTCAAATTTAGTCATTGATTTTATCATGGTATCCACCTTATGATTTAATTTAGTCAATTTTATATCAGTTTTCCTTTGGCTATAGGGTGGCTGTTTTTAGGTTCTATAATCGGCCCTTAACTGAAGACCCTTATCAGACAGTTCTAGTAGTAGTGATCGGCGTCTTAAAATTAGTTTAATAAGTTGTAAGAATCAGCTATTGCCTGGCTTCACGCAATTTGATGGTCTAAAGGATTGTTACACAATTTATACACAAATTAATTTTAGAAAAATTAACAAAAAAATAAAACATTTTAAAAAAATAACGATTTTCATTTTTTGAATGGGAGTTTTCCTATTGACATTTTTCCTATTTTCATCGGATTTTTTCCTAACTTTTCCTTTGATACACATCCTTTTTTTTGAATAGACCTTTTCCTTTTTTGTTAGACGCTTTTCCTTTTTTGATCGACCCTTTTATGTATTACACTTTTCATTTTTTATCGGACTTTTTCCTTTTATGATCTACCATTCCTCTTGGTTGGGACTTTATCTTTTTTGGATGGGATACCTTGTAATATCGTTATCCGCAACCTCTGAATGCAGTTTAAAGTTAAAGATAGATCAAAAATAATCTTAGAGGTTAGAGCTAAGATTGTGTAATTTGGATATAAGCTTTGAGCACACAATCACCAACGCTATTAATATATTAGACACAATAACCAATATTTTTGCAACAACTTCGAAATATCGAGAAATTTTTTTTAATTTGTTAAAATATTATTTCCCTCGATTATTTTTTGTAAAAATTTCTACAAATTGAAATACAAATTGAAACAATTAGCAATTTGCCAATGCTTTATTTACCATAAACAATCGTTTATCGAACACGAATATTATGAGAGCCCGGATTCATATATTAGGAATTTTGCATTATTGCAGAAACGTGAACCTTACATATTAACTATAGTTTCATTTTATAATTAATTGTAAACAGATTTATATTCCGAAGAAATTTATTTCTATAAATTATCTTCCTCATAGTTTTTTATTCGTATTTTCCCTTGAGGTTTATTCCAGTTTTTTTAAATCCTTAGTCTATATTTCCCCTAATTTTTTTTCTTGAGATTTATTTCTGCAGTTTTATTCTTTTTATTCGGCAGTTCTTTGCTTGAATTTTTTCCCTTATCACATTCGCAATAAATTACATAATTATATTATATTTATTTTAGTAGAAATAAACATTTAGTAGGTATTATATTTTTTTTAAAGAATCATTATATATTGTGCAAAGATTTTGGTCCAAATCTTTTATCCTCAATATAAACAGGTCAGAATTAAAAATGCAAATAAAAATTTGTAAAAAGAATATCGACTATTTATTTCTTTTTTAATTATCGATTTTCGATAAAAGGTTTCGTTATAAAATATGTTCCGTTCCTTCCTTTTCAAAATATTTGTATCCACATTTCATATTATTTCAAAATTAATTTAATGTATTTAATACATTTTGCAAAATTAAAAAATATTTTTAATTCAGATAATAAAAGGTAGAAGAATTAAAGCTATTTAAAATCTCACTTATGTTGGAAAATAAAATAAACAAAGTATCAATAATAATATGGTGGTTCCAATTTCTAAGACTATACGTTAATCTTGACTGCTCAACTTCAAACATTCTAGTCGATTCGGAAGATCAGGGGTTTAGAACATGGACATATGATTTAAAAATGCCTAATATTATACCTGAGGAAGTAAGTGGTTTTGAATATTCATATACCTTTTTTAATACAATAATTAGGAAATTTAATTTTTTTTCAATAGGATAATTTATATTTATGTTATGGTGACCAAATTGACCTTTCAAAATCGTTTTATATAAGTAAAAATAAAATATTGGGATTTTAAACGCATTTTTAATTTCTAATAGTAAAATTTGGACCTTTAGATCAAAATCATAATGCTCATCATATATTATTATATGGGTGTGAAGAACCGGGGAAAAATTTCGAAAATCCAAATGATGTTTGGTAAGAAATTTGTAATTAACTTTCAATATGTTTTCTATATTTAGGTCTTGTGGGGAAATGGCAAAGTCTGCGAATTATAGTAATTACCCAAAATTTCGAATCTGTAAATCCAAACTCATTATATTATATGCATGGGCTCATAATGCGACGGCATTAGAGTTGCCTTCCGGTACCCTATAAAATAAATTTGATTAATCATTTAACTATAATGATTTGTAAATTAAAGGAACTGGATTTAAGATTGGCCAAGGAACTTCCATTCAATTTTTAGTCATGCAAATCCATTATCTCCACAAAAGTAATTTTATTAAAAAATTTTAATATTTATTTCGCTTATAGATCCGAACAAAGATAATTCCGGAATTCAACTAACCATGACCAATCAAATGTATATTTAAAAAATATAGAATATAAAATTTAGTCATTAATGTAAACTTTACTATATCATAATAATAAGGTTTATCCTCCAAACCTAACATAGATAGAATAATAAACTTTTGTTATTAATTTTTTTAAGAAATAAATACTTAAATCTGTTAGATTTAAGGCCGTGCCAACGTCGGAATGTGGGGGGGGGGGGGGTAGACAAAGTTCGATTATCGGATTTTCAGGGGTAGGCTGAGAGACTGGTTTCGCTGTTATTTTGATCAATGTGTAAAAATCTACAGAAACCACTAAAACTTCCCCCATGGGTTATAAAAACGACAATAGTCAAATTCCAGGATCAGCAGCGGTTTGTTTAAATAAAAAGAAAGAGTGGATTGTGTACTTTAGCTAATATTTTTAATTGAACCATAATTCTTTATTATGCAACGATGTGTCATTTTTTTATGAACGTGACGGCTCACACCTTAGTATGAGTGCGGATTTTATTCTAAATTAATTTGTAAAAGAAGGATCTGATTTCTCTGCATCGCAGTATGAGTACTCCATTCTATATAACTTTAATTTTAAAAAGAAAGAATGGATTTCCAACACAGTATATGAGTGCGTATTTCAATTAAATTAATTTTAGGGGATGGAACAAGATCGCACCACCTTGAAAGGGTGGATTTTATAAGGTAGGCTCAAGATAGTGAATCGTTTGGGTTTTGTTAATTACGTAAGATAAATTTATCATTCGATTTACAATTTTGAGAAGAAAAACAATATTTCATCAATGAGAAAAGAAAATAATGGTCTATATTCATCGTCTATTTATGCAAAAGCAATTGTATAAACAATATAAAAATAATAATTCACTTCATATGATTGTATTAATATATCGCGTGGTAACCTGGATGGGGATGTACTAATTATTAAAACAAAAAAATAATAATATCAAAACAATTATCTGTGTAGATTATAAATGGAAAAACAGAATAATTAATTATATATTTTTTTACAAATTTACAAATATAAAGGGAAACCAAAAAAAAAACTTATTTTGTATAGATACTAAAAATATATGAAATATATTAACAAAAAAAATAAAACACAAAATCATATATATATTTAAGACATTAGATCAAATTAGAGTTTATTAGCAGAAAATGAAAATTTAATAAAAAACCGGAAGTTTATTGTCAAAAAATTATATTTATAATAAAGAGAAACGAGTGAACTAGGCTTAAATCAACAAAGGGGTGACGCTTTATTAAAAAATGGGTTTAAAATAACTGACAATTTTTTTTACTCAACTTAAAATATGACCCGACATCATTATTGTTCAGTCACCCTTATATTTTCACCATTCATTAATTTCTAACTCAAAAGTACTTAATATTTTAAGGTCCAGATAACTATTTTAAAATTTTACAAAGGCTTCAAAAGTGATTGATCACTGCACTTCTATCTTCAAAAATGCTTGATCGCCTTCAATTGAAAAAAAAAAAAAATTATAGCTTGATATTACACTCAACATTGTTTACATATAATTATTCATAATTAAATTCAATATAATTAAAGTTCTAATGAGTAATTAATTTCCTTATTGTCCAGCATTATATTAAAGGAATATTTAGGCGAATTGATTTAGATATCAGGGATTAAATTGCAGAACAATAGAATAATAGTAATATAGCAATTAAAAATCTTGGACGTTAAAAATTGACGACTTTCAGATAAGAAAGAATGTAAGAAATATTGAGATTTTGCGTTTTTGTGAGTATTTGATTTTTAGAATAAAAGTGGAAATATTATGATTTTTAAATTTTCATTGTTTTAATACATTAGCTACACTAGAAGGAAGCCGTGTTTGATCACTTTTCAAAAAGAAAAATATTAAACTGGATCAATAATCATATTGATTTGAGAACGGAACAGTGTTATAATATCAGATTTAGCGATGAATTAAATTTTAATTTTAGTACTGTTGGCAATATAGTCCATATTGTCTTCAGGGAATAAAATTTCCAAAAAAAAATTAATCTATAAGGTCATATTTTATAAATTCAAAATATCACAACCTTTACTTCTATCAATCCAATAGATACATTTTTTCGTAATAATAATTTTGTTTTCCAATACGATGGAGCTTTCATCTAAAAGACAGAAAACAGTTAATTGTTAATAAAAATATACCATAAAATCGTCAGTCGGTAGATCTGATTTAAACAAAATATATATTGGCATAGGCTTTTCTAAGGGGGAGGTTAGATGGTTTAAACCTCACACTGTTATTTGTTTAGCATTTCATATATAATACAAAAAAATAAAGAAATTTTTCATATTTGGTTTTATCATTATGCTTCGATAGAATTAAAATTAAAAGTTATCATGGACAACATTTGTAAAATTTTTATCCTCGATAAATAATTTTTTTGCATCTTAAGAATTACTGTCTCTATAAGATATATTTTGAAACAATGTTTCAAAAAATAAAACCTATTTTAGTTAAGTTGGTATGATTTAATGAACCATGTATAGAAATATAGACAATCGGCATTTCAATAAATATAATCAGCCATAACCCTTTGGATCACTTGTGACTATATGTAGCTTTTTTTTATTGTTTTGAATTTAGGACTTGAAGTTCAAATTAATCATAACTGTTTGAAGTAACCGTAGATTGTTTAGTTTTCTGTATTTATTAGTTTTTTAAGTTTTCCGTTCTCGTAATTAAGTTGGTAAATACGAATCTGACAAAACGGTCTAAGCAAGTATAATCTCAAGCAATAAGAGTTATAGCTTGGCACCAAAGGAAAGGATTATGATACCACCGAGTATAGTTCAATTGTCAGGGCTAGGACCAGAGGGTTCGAATGAAGAAGGAATATGTATGGCTCTCAACGTCCTCTTGAAAACCAAATTGATGGCATAATTAGCAAAATAAAATATATTGCTAATTTTATTAAGATGATGAAGGAGAGTGAGAATTAATCAATTTTGTAGTTATGACCTTTACTAACCTAAATATAATAGATCTCCATTTATTTTCATAACTATTTGATTTCAACATATAAATTTAAATAGAATGAATAATGTGATAAAATATTTTTCTCTCACTTTAGTTCTCTAAGGTTCTGACCAGTAGGGGAGACCGGGGTTATATTGTTTATAAAAAATTGAGAGGCTGTGAAAAGGAGGAGAAATAATTTATCAAAATAATTTTGATGTTATTTTATTCTTTATATAATTATCTACGGTAGAAATTAATATCTAATAAAAAAATATTATATATTTTTTTAAATTTAAATTTAAAAAAAATGAAAATTTTTGAGTCATGAAAAAGAGACGGGGGACATATTATCCTTTTGTGGGGCATGTTTTAGACTATCATTTTCTAAGCATTTTATTCATTTTTTTTCATACAAAAATCATAACAAACATATAATATTAACATACAACACATTTATTACATATAAAAAATGGATTAAAATCACAACATGATCCATGTGCCCATAAATGACAATTACGGCATTGGAAACAATCTTCATTATGGTGGTGAGTTTGATAGTTTTTGTGGCACACTAAACAAAATTCTTTTTTGCCAGCATTCATATTTAAACTTTTTTTATTATTGGTTTGATTTTTTTTCCAGATTATTAGCCCTAGATCTGGCTATTTTTCTGTAAGGTGAAGAGGTTAAAATGGCTGAAGTCATTTGATTACTTGTTGTTTTTTTAAATATTGTTGGATGGGGACTAATAATTTCTGGAGCAAAATCTTTTTCCACGTGAGAAGATGATGGAACAGGACTATCACTGACAGATGGTTGCAAAATAATTTCAGATAATTCTCATTAAGGATCGTTATTATTATTATAATATAAAGGATTAGAATTTTCATCATTAAAAATTAAAGGATTTAGGGGCCATATACCTGAGGATTCAAAACCCTTTTGGATATTTGAAGCTGAGGTGGCTTTTGGAAGGACATCCTTTACTACTCTAGGGATATCATATATAGTAAAACTTTTCCCTGGATGCATTCTCATCCAAGCATCCAAGGCACTGTTGTAATATTTTTTAGAGGTCCAAAAACAGTTCTATCCAATGTGGCTATACTTGTAGCCTCTGGTGTTCTCAAAGAAATAGTTGGATTTCTTTTAATAAATGCTCCAAACCAGTCTTCACCAGCTGATTGAGTTATTTCCCATGATTTTGGTACTTGTAAATTATACCTCTTGGCCATTTGATAAGCTAAAACTCTAACCTAAATTTAAACATAAGACATTAAATTATTTATATATTAAGGCAATCTAATTAAAATCCTAATTCTTAAATTTTATTCTGAATTTATTTTATAATTAATATAATAAAATATATCATACATAATTAAACCTATAATGTATAGGTAAGAACCAAAATATGTTTTAATGCATGATATAATTTAATGCTAAATCAATGAATAAATCATTTTAAAATTAATATACATGGCAGCATCATTTTATTTTAAATATATATCATACACACATAATTAAATCTTTAATATATAGGTAAGATATGATTTAATGCATGATATAATATATATAATGCTAAAATTAATAAATCATTTTAAAATTAATATTAATACATGGCAGCATCATTTTAAAATTAATATATATACATGGCAGCATCATTTTATACATAAATGGCAGCATCATTTTATTTACATATATATCATACACACTTAAATAAATATCATTCTAATGTACAAGTTAAATTCTTACTTTAAAGTATAATAAAGATGTTTCATTAACATATAATGTAAATAATTTAAAAAAATTTTCTTAAGTTTATTATTATTTAACTAAAGAAATACCATGGCATAAATTTAAAGATTATAAAAAAATTCATTTTACAGAGATATATGATATAACAAAGGATTAAAATACTTGTTTAGGGCATAATCCTGAAAATAATCTTGATCCTTTAATTAAATAATCTGTTAATTTAGCTTCTTGAATAGGAGAAAATACTGATCTGT